TTTGACAACATGCACGTGCTCAGGGGCCTGTTGGAGCTTGCCTAGAAGAAAAACCTCTCATTGTTGGACATGGCATGTGAAGCACGGATGAAGACCCGGAAAGAGAAAGTTGTTCAAGTTTGTTCAATTTCACCGCTTTTCATGACAAACATGCAAGTGCTATCTATCAAATCTGTGTCTAGACCGCCCTTGCGCTCGAATGGCGCACCGCACCGGAAGCGGAAGGTACATCATTATCATGTTCATATCCCTAGCTTAGAGATTCTCCTTCTCGGCTTGTGGGCGGAGACCGTACACCGTGACGCCCTTGCCGGCATCGTGCCTCGTCCTCTCGACCTCCTCAAATTCCAAGGGAGCCGAGTTGGGAGCAAGGACGTGTTGACGGTGCCACGGCCCAACAAACAAACCATCGGGGTCGGCCTCGTCACGGACCCGTCGCCACTGGACCAGGTCGTCTCCGTACCACTCCTCGAGCTCCGTGTTCTTGACGGTGAAGTTCTTGGCCCAGTGAGGCTTGCCACCCAGATCGCGCATGAGCCATTCGAAACCCTGGAACCAGCGCTTCAAGCCGGGAGGATCCAGGTCGTAGGGACGGTACATGGTGGCGTTGAGGTTGAGCGTCGGGCCATCCTTGATGGTGCTGTCGAGCCACGGGCGGTTGCGCTGCTCGGCACTGGTGTGCACGGTGGCGTCGCACACGCGGACCTCGACGGGAGAGTGGATGTAGAGACCCTCCGCGGAGTACGGGATGCCGTGGTCGACGTAGTAGGGGTCACCCGGCTGCAGCCTGTTGATCCAGGATCCGAGACGCATGAGCGCCTCCGGGCCACGGTGGAGCGGGATGGCCCACTCGTTCACGTACTGGCTGTACAGGCAGTTCATCCACAGAGCTTTGTCCATGGGCTGGACAGCTCCGGTGGTGTAGCCGTTCTTGAAGCCATATTGCATGCCAAAGACAAACCTTGGAAAGCCGTCAGCATCCGCGTACTCGCTAGTCATTGGCCGTGGGAGGGGGGTGTTGACTTACCACTCGATCCATGGAGTAATCTTGGGGATGTAACGCGACAGGTAGAGGAGATTGTGGTAGATGTGATAACCGAGTGCTCCATCGTAGTAACCGACGGGAGGGTCGCGGTTCTTCTCTCTGCCGGACTCGAGGTCCTCCTTGGTGACGATGTCGGCCTTCCATACGACCGCCCTCCTGGTATAAGGCAGCCACCACACCCGCACAAAGTCCGACGAAGTCCACAATTTGTTGTTTTGCTTCCAAGCATCCAACATGGTGGTATCAGCCTGGATGGTCTGGTTCCACCTCAGACTGAAAGCAGGGACAGCTCGGAAGCTGACCTCTGTGATGATACCCAAAGCTCCGAGGGACAGGAGGGCGCCGCGGAACAGATCCGGGTTCTCATCCGGCGAGCACGTTACCGTCTCGCCGTTGGCCAGGGTGATCTTCAGGGAGGAGATGGCCTCCGACAGCAGTCCGTATTTCAGGGTGCTGCCACGGGTGCCGGTGCTGATAACACCAGCGATGCTCTGCTCGTTCACACTTCCCAAGACAGGGAATGACAGACCGTGCTTGTTCAGCTCCTCGGTCAATTGCCAAAGCCGGATTCCGGCCTGCATGACGACCAATCCCGTCTCCTCTGTTCAAGGTTAGCGCCGGAGCCGGGTTGAACTGCGAAACAGATATTGCTTACTGTCGACAGACAACACTTTCCTGAAGTCATCCAGGTTCACCAGCCAGTTACTCGTGCACGTCAGGTCTGACGGCGAGTGGCCGCAGCCGACTGTGGTGATGCGCCGCCTGCACTTGCGAGCAAGCTTGATCGCCTTCTCGACTTCCTGTTGCGACTGCGGCTGGATGTACAACTCGGGCAGCGAGGCGAAAGTCCGCGCCCATGTCGTATGAAAGTGGGCTGCGCGGGCCCGGAAGGGCACGCCGTCGGCGGCCGCATCCTCGATGATGCCCTGGATATGCGGCTCGAGAGACGCGATTGCAGCCATCTTGCTTGACAAATGATTAAAGATGCAAGACAAGACAAGAGAGGAAGATCACGACAATTGGAGACGAAACAGCTCCTCAAAACCAAAGATGGAGGCTGTTTGTATGGCTCCTTGTCGGTGAAGGATGTGAGGGAAAAAACTGGTGCGTTGTTCGAAATTGAGGCTAACGACGGGTTATATTACAATCCTAGTTTAGCGTCCGTTATGGGGAAGGAATGGATTCTGGTTCGATTCGCAGGGATCGGATCCGGTGTGGATGACGAGTCAAGGGCCGTGGCTTGAGGTGGCTCGTCTCAGATGAACATGGATATATCATGTTCCCCGACCGCCACTTATGCCGGCCGGCGAGGGCCGGTAGGAGGCAGATTGAAAGGCCGCACAGAGCAAGGGTCACGTTTTTTTCCTTTTCTCTCGTTAGGGGTTCATGACACCCATGTTTATCGGTTTTTGTGGCAGGTTGAGACGAGCTGACACGTGCAATCTGGCGAAGAAAGTCGACGATTCTTGGCTCACAAGAGCTCTGCATGAACCCCACCGCCACCGGCTTCGTAAGAATTGACGAGAGTCCCAAGTTTGACCCGAGTAAAACGTATACTTCGTACGCGGCTTGTCCTGGGCAAACCGGGCGGGCGGGTTCTGGGTACGCTAGAACTACCGGCGCGCCGGCAAGCCAAAAAAAAAAAAAGGAAGCCCACACAGCGATTATGGTTAATAACACATTGTTCCTAGCTCAGGAGCTTGGAAGACCCAGTCAATCTTTCTAGACCAGACTCGCTCACCGACCCTGTCGTGACCCTCTCATATCAATCCGCAAACACCTCGACCTCTTCCGCCGTCCGACTTAAGTCTAGACGCCGCCTGAGCAAGACCCCATCCAACCTCTCCGTACCATCTCACCTCTATCATCGAACCATCTCTCCCCGTTTCTCGTCTCATTCACTATCATCCACATCAAATCATGGCCACTGCCACTACAAGCCTCAACCCGGCTACTAGGCCTAGCGTTGCCTCTATTCTTCCTCCTCTCTTCTTGGGTACCGCGACCTTCAACACACAACATGTCAAGGACCCTCTTCAGATGCCCTACAGACAAATCGTCTCAAGGGCATTGGAGCTTGGTGTGAACGGTTTTGACACATCACCATACTACGGCCCTTCAGAAGTCCTGCTGGGTGATGCGCTGGCCGCTCACACCGCAGCCACCAACATCCCCAGAGAATCATATGTCCTCGTCACCAAGGCCGGCCGTATCGCTGGCAACGAGTTCGATTACTCGCCCGCATACGTGCGCTACTCGGTCCTCCGTTCTCTTAACCGCCTCAACACCAGCTACCTCGATCTCGTGTACATGCACGATGTCGAATTCGTTTCCCCCTCAGAAGTCCTCGCCGCTGTTCAGACATTAAGACAGCTCCGCGATGAGGGCAAGATCCGTTTCGTCGGAATCAGCGGTTTCCCCGTCCACGTCCTCTGCAGTCTAGCTGAGATGATCCTCGCTGAGACCGGCGAGCCTCTGGACGCCATTCTCAGCTACGGCCACTTCACCATCCAAAACCCCACGCTCGGTTTCGACGAAGTCGTCGCCGGCGCCGACCACACCAACGACCAGAGCCCTCTCAGAAGATTCCGCAACGCCGGCGTGCAAGTCGTTCTCAACGCAAGCATGCTCGGCATGGGTCTGCTCACGCACACCGGCATCCCCACCAACTCAGAGCAATCAGAGGGCAAGGCCGGTGTCATTGCGAAATGGCACCCTGCCCCCGACGATTTGCGCACAGCCTGCAAAAAGCTCTCGACGTTTGCCAATGAGGCCGGGGAGCGGTTGGAGACGATCGCTCTTCATTGGTCGATGGAAGAGTACGCCCGCGTTGGCGCCTTGGCTGGTCTTGGCGTCCAGCTCCCTGGCCAGGGGGATCTGCGCGTGGGTGGCAGTGTCATGGGTGTGACCAACGTTTCTGAGCTTGAGCAAACAGTCGACGCCTGGAAGAAGGTGCTCGAGGGAATGGGAGCCAGCACAGAGACTGGCTCGGCGGACAAGTACGAGAAGTTGAAGGCGTTGGTGGAGCAGAAGATGTGGCCTGCGCTGGGTGAGTGGAAGGGTTACAGCTGGGCCAGCCCCGATGAGGGCTTCCAGAACGAGAGGAGTGTGGAGAAGATGGGCACGATACCCGCGGAGGATGAGCTCATGAAGATTGTCACTAGAATTTCCAGCAACTTGTAAGCGGTGTGTTTTATGAAGCTTCTACGAATTTCAACACTGCATTTGAGCGTCTGTACTTAAACATGCTCCTCAATCATGCCATTGCAAAACGATAGTGTCTTCCGAATCATTGGCCAAGAATTCTGCATGCAGGCATGGAATAATCCACTCAACAGCAAGATGATTGGCTCATTACATCCATGGCTGCGGCGCAGCCAGATCAGGCTGTGTCTACATCAGGCAGACTCGCGGGCGGATTGACCGCCAACTTTGCGCACCTTCAATCCCACAAAACCCCTCATTTGAGCTCCTGCCTTCCCTAGATGCTTCCGAATGCGTTCATGCTTGCTTCCCTTCTTTCTTGACATAAAACTTCCCAATGGCAGAGGCATTTGGTCTCGCGGCAAGCATTTTTGCTACCGTCCAAATCGCAGATCGAGTAATCTCACTATGCAAACGCTACATAGAAAGCATCCAGGACGCACCAAGCGATCTGCGGACTATTCTCATAGAGACCTCATCGGTAAAGGCAATTATGGAAAATGTGAAGTTCCTTATCGAATGCGACAACGGGCAATCACAAATCTTCGACAGCTTGAATGGCCCATCTCGACCCATCGAAGGTTGTCATGAGGCTATGAAAAGTCTCGAAGGTCTGTTTCGCACAGATACTGCTGCGCTGCAGGGTCATAGCAGGTCAAGAAAGCTGAAGAGCCACGCAATGGTCACACTTGCAACTTTAGCTTGGCCTTTGAAAGAAAGTAAAGCCAGGAAGCTGCTGCAGGATGTCGCAATGTACAAGAACACCATAATGTTGGCCTTGACCGCCGACACTGCGTAAGTGTGCGGACAAACAGACGGAAAAGTGAAGCCTGACTAACTTGAAATTTGAGGCACCGTATGCATGAAATAGCACAGAGAACAACCCGAATTCAACAGACTCTGTCAGAGTCTGAACGACATCAAGTGTTCAAATGGCTCAAAGACATTGACCCCTCTTCCCTACATCACCGAGCACAAGACAACTATGAACCTGGTACGTGTGATTGGGCGATACGTCTTCCAGAATGGCCTGAGTTTCTGAGCGGCCAAGAGCGCTGCCTTTGGTTCCACGGTATTCCAGGTGCCGGGAAAACGATCCTCGCTTCCCAATTAATTGCGAAGATTGACGAACACTGCCAAGCCTCAGATTCTGGAAGATTTATGAGTGTTTGGTATTACTGTTACTTTGGGCATAATCAAGACGAGTCGATTTCTCTTCTAAAGTGGATTCTTAGTCGTCTTTGCCGCGAAGCGAATGAGGTTTCAGACCATCTTTGAAAACTGTTCAAGCACGGAGGAGCACCTTCCTCAAAAGATCTTCTTATTGCGATCGAGCGGGAGCTCGAACACTTTAACGAAGTCTACATCACAGTCGATGCCATTGACGAAAGCAATCCTCGCGAAGACTTCCTGACAGTCATACGACACTTGGCTACCGACGCAAGATTCAAAAAGATCCGGTTACTACTCACAAGTCGGGAGTATTTCGATATTGAGACCGTGATGACCGAGTTTTCGACGTCAATATCCATGAAAAACGAGTTTCTAGACGCAGACATACGTCTGTATACAGAATCACGTCTTAGGAACGAGAAACACGTCAGGAATTGGCCAGCACAGCTTCAACAAGAGACTGTGGAGGCCTTGTCAAATGGTGCGCAGGGGATGTAAGTAAATTTCTTCAAACCTTGACCTTCTGATATTGAGCCAGGCGCTGACTGACAGAAGGTTTCGATGGGTTGTTTGCCAGATCGATGCGCTACGGCGTATGAGGAACAGAGAAGCTGTCAGGAAAGCTTTGGATAGACTGCCTAAGACTCTAGATGAGGCTTACGACCGGATATTCGAGCAGATCGAGGAGGAAGACTTTCCTTACTTCAACTCTGCCATGAAGTGGCTATGTTTTGAAGCCAAGTTGCACACTGGCGAAGCTGCATGTGTTGACGTGCAAACGCTTGCTCAAGCCGTTGACGAAGACATCTGTGGAGACAATCCTGAAGGAGAACTGTTCTACGACCCACAAAGTCTCCGTGAGATTTGCGGATGTCTTGTTACAGTCACACCAACGACTTTGAAGAATGGACAGCAGAGATATTACATCTCGTTTGCCCACTATACTGTTTTGGAGTATTTGGCCTCTAGCAAGAGACACAAATTCGATCCATTCTTCACGTTAGAAAAGGATGGACTGGTCCTTGAAAAAGCCGAGCGGATATTCGCGAGAGCCCTCTGTGTTCGCGATGATGAATACAAAGAGTATAGGGCTGTGGCGTGGACTTCTGATGGTGAACATTACCGCATCAGTAATCTTCCCAACTTTGGAAGCTATTGCGCTTTCACCTCTATCGACATACTCATTTGCTTCGATTCCCTTTTCTCGAAGCACAGCGGACTTCTCTACCGTGTACTTGATGTATTGGATACAAGAAAACACCGTTGCCGCCTGCTTTTCTCCATTTGGAGCAACAGGGCCAAGGCCCTGGAGAGTAACGACTTCTCGTTTAGTCGTGAAGCGGAAACGGACTACCAAAATTCTGGCTTGCTCCACAACATCAAGTGGGAGACTATGCCGGATCTGGAAATTCAGGTGCTCGTAAGGCTCCTCATTTTTGGATGTGTGCACATGGCTAGAGCGTTGCTGGAAACAATGAAGCCACAAGCAACCTTCCAGGTCCAGCTTGACTTCAAATACCACTACTGCTACAGCAGAGGAAGTATGGATACGGAATGGGATTGGCATTTTCAAGGATCTCTAACCGACTGTTTTGCAACCTTGTTCCCTGCCACGACCTTAACCTACCGCTGGCCTGGCAACATCAATGTGTTTAAACTACTGATCGAGGTTGGCGCCGGGAGCTTCGACCCACAGGGCGCTCTTCTCCCTTTCAGTCCCTTGCATGAACACAGTGACGATTGCGGCGATTGGTGTGTTTTAAAGAAGCTCCTGAGTCTCGGGGCAAATCCCAACGCCAGCCGATGCTTTGTTACTCCATTGCAAATCGCTGTGGCAACTTTCGATGTGGAGGGCGTCCTGGCATTGCTGCAAGCAGGGGCAAATCCCAACGCGGAGGGGTGTGCTACTGCTTCGGCATGGCCGGATGATAAGCTACTATCCAACTTCAACTGTCTCAACGGATGGCGACCTTTACGAATTTGCAACCATATTTCTGACCCTGAAATGTTTAACGACTTAAAGGCTTGGTCGGTAGACATCACAGACAAAGCAGAAGAGGAAGCGGAGACCAATCGATCATCGATTGAAGCCATCTTGCTTGAGTATGGTGCAGAGGATTGATCTTATTTTGCTTCCGGACGATCGTTTTGCTTTCGACTACATAGTTTATGTGTTAGCTAGCCCCAGTCGTTGACGGGCTCGACATTCGAACTTTCGGTTTAATCACGGACTTCTGGACATAATCTCTTCTCTGCTGTATCGCACAAGTCGTTGATAAGTACGTGGACGTTGTTGTTGATACGTTTCAGTGGAGGTATACAATATTCACGGAACGAAGGCGCATTCTCATCTTGACTTGCTGAGGAACTGTTTTGAAGACTCCGAGGTACTTGTCTAATGGTTCAGAGGGCTAATGGTGAGCTGGGAAACATTTTATACCAGACAGGGGATTCTCTTTGTCCTCTCAGTAGACACCAGGAAGGATCCTCCACTTAACAGTCTTCTTATACTTCTCCCAATCCTCTCCGTACTTCTCAGAGCAGGCCACGTCGTCGCGTCCCTCACGATGAATGAGAAGGATAGCAAAGTACAGAACATAGAAATAAGTGAAGATCATGCCCCATCCACGAGCCGCACCCTGAATCACCTCGCGTCCGTCAAGCATAGTGATCGCACCAGAAACAGCACTGCCAGCGGGAAGAATGATGTATCCAGCGATGGCCGTGGGGGCGCTGAACGGCGAGGCTTGGAGCCAGTCACCAAAGTAGTTGATATGACGCGACATACCCCACCAGCCTCCAGTGAGCAGCTTCGTGCCACGTTTGGTCTGGATGAAGGGCATACCCTTGACGCTGGGGTGGTCAGGCTGCGTGCGGAAGAGCTTCTTCTGGGTGTTGGAAGAGCGGAAGATATACAGGCCAGTGGCGAACACGGCAAAGACGGATGCGATACCAGTCCAGCCCAGGTGCACAGGGTAGATGGAAAGGTAACGGGTCTGGGTGGAGTAGAGGAAGGGAACCCAGGCAATGTCACCGAACGACAACATGAAGCCCATACCGTCGGTGATGATGTCCATCATGGTAAGGACGCCGGCCTCGTAGTACTGGCCTTCGAGAACGTAGTAAGCCTGCACAGCGGTCGTGAAGATGATGCTGTCGGACAGGTATCCGTAGTTGCGGTACTGCTTGGCGCAGAAAGCGAGGTTGAGGATGATCCAGCCAGTCAGACCAGGGCGGAACTCGAACCAGGTCTTGATGTCGATCTCGCCGAACAGGGGCAGGGTGACGCGGGGGTTCAGCTCACGACCGATGTAGAAGTCGTAGATGAGGCTGCCGGTGTTGCCGCCGACGGCGAGCTCACGGTTCTCGGTGTTGCCGGGCTTCACGCTGAAGCTGCAGACGTAGCAGTACACAGAGAGCAGGTAGCCGATGATAATGTTGGCAGTCAGGAGCTGGAGGTAGTTGTCCGAGATGTAAGTCCAGACAACGAAGTCGGCGCCCTTCAGGTAAGTTCCGACAGCAAGAGCTGCCAGCTGCAAGACAGTGGCGTTGAAAGCTGTGTGCTCAGTTAGTACTTGACCGTCTCAAAAGAAGCACGGGAACCTTACCGTTGAAGCGGTACTTCAGAGGGCGACCAGATTCTCTCAGCTTGGTGCCAAGAACCTCCTGAGCGGGAAGAACAACATGAAGGACCAAGCTCAAGAGGTAGTAGGCCAAGGTCCAGCCGAAGACTTCCCAGCTGCAGAATCCCCAGATGCCATCGGCAGGCCAGGGAATCTCAGCCTTCAACTTCTCCAAGCTCAGCGTGCGAGGGCTGAGGGTCGAAGGAGCAGGACATCCAGACTTGTCATTGCAGACAAAGAAGAACGTCCACAGGAGAACGGGGAGTCCAAAGACAATGCCGAAGGCTCCCGGACTAAGAAGGAAGAATGACGTTAGCGGTGAGAACGCGTCGTATGGGTTAACGCGACTTACGGTCCTCCAAACTCGTACTTGTGCTTCTTGACAGCCATGTTTCGATCCCAAGTCTCAATGATTAAGACGAAAGAACGACCTTGACACTTTTTCAAATCAAGTGCTTGTCGAAACGACCGTATATCAACTCAGCGCAATCGGGTGAGAACGCGACAGAGCTACCTCACGGGTCCGGGTTGACCCCTTAATCCGTTGGGGCAGACAGGAAGATTTTGCGGGATTGGCCCGTGCATCCTGCCAATTTCCCGTTGCTGGGTCGCTAACCGACAGCTGAGTGGCTCGCGGCGCCCGGCGCGAGCGATTCCTCGGTGCCGGCCCCACTCTTCCGTCGTATTCGGGTTGCTGCCGCCCCGTTCCTCGATCACGCGGTCCGGAAGCTGCTGGCCCGGCGCAGTGGTCGCCAGAAGTACCAATTAAAGTCATCAAATATGCACGCCGAGGATTCACCAAGACTTAAGGATTCAACTCATCCTGAGCACTTGATGGCGATTTCTTTCACTGTCATTGGCCGTAGGCTGCAGCTAGTTGATGCATTCTGGGACATGCTCGTGGGTGCGGGAGGCATCGGATCAAGTTTGGCCATCGGATCATCAACACATCTTCTTCATTACTCATCAAGCTCTTCGCTCATTTTGACTATTGTACACCGTCATCCTCAATTGACGTCATCAGCAACGCCTAGGCTCATTATCCTTAGTACACCTTCTTCTCGTCGTGGTGAGAGCACATCTTGCCATGGCTAGATTTCTCAGCCATCAATTTCCAGCGGCGAAACTGCTGGAGAACACCGGCGCGTCCGCGAAGGACAGGCGTAGTGTCGGCACGAGGCGGGACACCCTCAAGAGAAAGGGCGAGGGTGGCCATCGCGCGCCCGGCCGCCTTTGTGTTCACGGTGATAGCGTCCCAGTTGATATTGTCCAGAGTATCGCAAGCCAGATGGTAGCAAGGATCGTTCTCACCCTCTCCCGTAAAAATGGACGCCGTTGGAATTCCTAGGGGATTAATGAAGCCCGCGTAGTCCGAACGGTCGTCGAACTCAGACCACGTCACAGTCTTGCCGTTGGCCTCCAGGTAGTCTGCCAGAAGCTGGGGGCCGATGCCACTGTTGTTGTAGCTGGACAACTCGTAGATCGGGTTCGGAGAAGCGATCATGTCATAGTTGAAATAGTACTTGATCTTGTCCGCTTCCTCTGAGCTGAGGTTCTCGGTGTAGTAGTAGGAGCCGACCAAGCCGGCCTCTTCAGCGGCCCACCAAGCAAAACGAATCTTGTTAGGGAAACCAGTGTACTTCTTGACGGATCCCATCAGCTGGAGCAGGGCAGCAGTGCCGCTTCCATCATCATTGATACCAGGGCCCTCAAGAACACTGTCAAGATGGGCGCCAAGCATGATAACGCTGTTCGGGTCGCCTTCCTTGGTCTCGGAAATAACGTTCCAGGTCTCACGCTCTTCGAAGATGGAGTCAACAAGCAAGGTAACAACAACCTCCTCGCCTGCCGCAAGAGAAGCCGACCAGGCCTCACCAGTCTCCTCTGTAATGATTCCGAGAGGGACGAGCAGACCAATGTTCTCAGCACCGAGAGTTGGCTTGACGATGTCGTCGCCAGGGACGTTGTTGTACAAGATCACGCCCAAAGCGCCCGCCGCCTTCGCGTTCTTGATCTTGTCGGAAATAGCACACACGCCACGCTTGATGAGAGCAAGCTTGCCGGTGGCGTCAATGCCCTCGAACGCCTCGGGGAGACATCCGGAGCCGTTCTCGTCGTCAACTGGAGTGTCGATGAGAGGGGCAGTGATGCCGTCTGGAAGAGGGGTCGCGGTGTTGTACTCGGCGCTGATGACGATGACGTCCGCACCGTCGGGGCCGGTCACGGAAATGGCGTTCGTCTGCTCGAAGGTGTGGTTAAAGGGCTGCAGCCACGTGTCCATCTCCTTGGCGAAGCGGGTTTGGGCGCGCTCCAGGACGAAGTCAACTGAGGCCTTGTAACCCGGGGTTCCGAAGGCGCGGGTGCCACCATTGTCGCGACCGATCTTGTTCAAGTTCCAGAGGACGCGCTCAAGTCTAAAATGCGTCGTGTTGTTAGCCAATTGAGCTTTCACTTCTAGCAGTATGTGGAAATACTCACTCCTCGGTCTTGACGTCGGCCTCGACCTTGTCGGCCGTGAGAGGATCGGTGGCCAGGCAGCTAGAAGCCAGCGCCAGAGCGGCGGCGGAGAGGTAAGTGGTCTTCATCGCGACAGACGACTTGGCGTGCTTAGCGAAACCGGAGAAGAGACCGCGAGAAGAGCTGGGCCGGTTGAGCTCACTAAAACAACACGCGAGCTCTGGGGAACTGGTTCATTCTTATACTGATCGCCCGCCGAGCCCATCCCGCATGCTGCGTTTCTTTTGTCATCTCAACAGTGCCATGCTTTCTCACTCTGAATGCGACGCCGAACGGCGAACAGCGGAAGCTCATCCCAAGCTCGAGCTCAGGTTAAGCTTGGCATGCAGCATAAGTTCACAAAACCCCTGACCGTGAGCATGGGTTGAGAGCGGGGAACCGTAAGACATCGCGAATCAGAGGACTCAATCACTGATAAGCATATGCCTAGAAGTCCTGCCGCAAGGTCACCTCATGCACCGACGGGGCCAGTTTCCACACCAAGTCGAGGAGACGTGAGGGGAAAAGGCAGGAACAGACCGCACTTTGGTTGCGGGTTTGTTTGTCTGGTCGCGGCGAAAGCGCGGCTCGCAACATCTTGGCTCAAATATACGCACGCCACGATGTAACCTCAAAGGGCAGGTGCCAAGACATTTCATATCGCGGGGCGATGTGTTTGGACCAACAACTGTGCGGCGTAGCATCAATTTGCAAAGGACCTGCCCATCTGGCTCGTCTGCCGTGCTGGGGTGCCTCGTGAAGTCATGCTTCCACTGGCGTTTCCAGCCGTTGTTCTTACAGCGTCCATTTTTGCAACAGCCGCATCTAGTCTTGGCTGCCGACTTCCAGAATGATGCAGGAGGGACTTATGGCTGACAAACGGCAGTGTGCAGCAGATGCAGGTCAGGCCTGGCTATGCGCCAAGATGTCACATTTAGTAACGATCCAGCTTGTCGGATGCCCTCATCTGCCTTAGTTCTACGAATAGCGAGGTCATGTGCTTATTTGCGTCATCAGGTCGCCGGCATGCGTGTTGAGTGATTGTGCAGCACCCGCGCGAAATGAAACAGATCAGGGTTACAATTTTATGTCATTTGATGGTGGTCGACAGTTCAAAAATATCCATGCAGTCTCAGGGCCATGGACTTGCAAAAAGAACACACATGCGGTGTGTTTATCTATTGTCGAGCTATTTGTCTGCGTCACATTCTGTCAGTTCTATGCCTAAGATAGATTAAAAAGGCTTCTCTGGGCCTGGGAACTTGCTTTTGGGTAACAGCCAAGATCACCAATTCCATGGTCACGTCAGTAACATGACAGAGAAGAGAGAAAGTAAGCGAGGTACGACGAGACACGACATCAGAAAGTCATCGACCTAAGCTTGTCTAAATGTCTCTTCTTCGTTTCACATGACGGTATATGCCAGCGTGCTCACCTTCGTCATTTCACGAGAGCTCTAAAATAGTCTGTGAAGACGGACATTGACGCAGTCACTGCACTGTTTTCATTTATCGAAATATTTAAGGCCCGATTCGATTCAGCGACGCGAATCATATCACGTCTTGCAGCTTGATCGGATAGCTGCTGGACTGCGTGACAATGTCACAATCCTACATTAATCAGTTATGTCAACTTCTGACTTTGAAGTTCCAGCTGCCCTCCTGCAGAAATTCCGAAGATTTGCTCATGATTTGACTATTGCCGCGTTATGCGCACAAGCCTTTCCCTGGGATTTGCTCTTACTTCTTCAGGCAACCGAGTGCCTTGGGTCCTCGAGTGTCAAGAATACAAGTTGATTGGCTCTAAGCATGCTGACATTAACAGTTCGCCACCAAGGAGATGGCAACACAAGATATAGTTATTGAAAGATTGCAAGACTTTGGTGAATCAAACGGGGAGGCTTCAGTATCTGATGGAAGTTGACAGATGATGTCCGCTGATCTTATATCCACGGCCCCCAAGGCAACGACATACCTTTCCAACTTGATGGATGTTGTCACACTTTCAGCTAATCACGCCATAATTTGTCCCAAAGTCCCCAACGCGCAGACGTGGTGGCCTGGACTCTGGAGTACCCTGTTAGAGCGGTTGTTTTTGCCGGGAATAGTCAAGGTTGATTCAGGCAACAACGTCAAGGAGCGACCAATGAATACCGACGAACTAGCACGTGGTTAATCAAGTATTCGACAAGATTAAGAGCTCATCTTTGGTTTCTAAATACGTATCAAACCGGATTTCTTTTGAAACTTTCCAGACGAATTCAAGCCTGGTGTGACTTTCTGAGTCCTCCAGCAGTAGTATAATGATGCTTCTCGTCCGATTGGAATTAATCCCGAGACTACCTACGAGATGTAATGTGGGGGCGGTGCGAATCAATCGACAGAATTCTTCTGCCCGTCTCAACCGAGGTGGTATCCCCTGGAAGGCAAGGGCGCCGATGATGATCGGCACTTATATTCCACCTTTATGACATAGACTCTGTCAGCCGTAAGAACCAAAATACAGACACCGCTGTGTAGTACGCGCGGCAGCATCACATTGCTCGTATCGTTCGCCTGAAGTCACAAACTGGTACATTCCGAGAGACCACAAAATCAACCGACTGAAGATATGGCATGATGTTCGTCGAGTGGACCACGTTCAATGGATACCCGACCGCTGTGTTGTTGGTCGTCTGAACAGCAGCCGACTCCACCGACATGGCCAGGTCCAGAATTTCATACCAAAGGTCCAAATAAGGTGGAAAAGCAGCATCTAGAGTTCCACGATAGTTCATTGAGCGTTCAGGCAATAAGTTCTGGCCCTTCTGGCATTTGCATCCTTTGCAAATCAAATCGCAAGCGCTCGTTCGACTCACCGCGTGCTTGGTACTTTTGTTAACGAATGATAGCAAAAGTCCAAATTCTATGGAGATGTAGTCTTTACTGGCGAGAATGGCAGTCACTTTGGCCGGCCAGGTTAGGTAGATGCTTGGTTGATAGCTACATCTGAAGACTTATAAGTAGACACGGGAACGGACTTGCTCATCTGGTTCTCACTCATCAACAAACCACACTCTGAACCAATTCACCATCCATTCTTCCCAATATTCATCTGAATCAAGTCAAACCACTTCGTCAGTAATCCTCCCAAAGCCAAAATGCGTTTCACTGCTGTCATCGTCGCCACCCTGGCCACCATGGCCATGGCCTCGCCGGTTGCCGACCTCGACGAGAGAGCTCCTGTCAATGTTCTCTGCTCCTGCGCCGCTACCCAGTCTTGCGGCTGCAACTCCGTGGTTGCGGGTTCGTGGTGTGTTTGCAACGGCGCCACCAAGGGTACTTGGAACGCCGCTCCTTGCCAGGACAGCACCTCCTGCGGATGCTCCGGCTTGGGCAAGTGGGGTGTCTGCGAGGTAAGTCAAATTCAGAGCACACATCATACTAAGAATGATCGCTGACTCAGAAAACAGAAGGTCTAAACTACGACGTTTAGGTGTAGGCCAAGAGAAGCGTTATCAGGTTTACCGGTATTGTTGGGCCAAGGAACTGTCAACGAATCTTCCCTACCAGCAAACGTGTATCCTTGACGGTAACGAACCATTCATAAGGCATTTGCCTGATTGGTTTTCTCTTCTTCACGCTGAGGTATCAGCAATGTATCTAGTTTATACAATTATGTCCGGCGCTACATAGGCAACTGACATAAAAGTACACTTTTGAAAATCATCCCTTGTCAGCCTTCAACCGTGAAAACCAGTGTACTATGTCCTCTTGTGATTATTATGCTGTGAACTATGGTGCTGTGAAGTTTAATGTTGCCTTTGCCGGAAAGTATCAATACTTGGTGCCATATTCGTCGTTCCGGCCAGAAGCATCTCAATCGGATAAACAAACGCCTATCCAGTACGGACTGCTGATAAATATTACACAGCATCATTCACTAGCACAGCCACTTTAAAGTTTGAACTGCTTGTTGAGATGATACACATGAACGTAATTTTAGGAATAGTCTCTAAATACCTAAGGAATGCATCTCATCACACTATTCCACATTGTGATATGTTGGAAATGCACTGATATGATCGCTTTGGAAAAAGGTTATGCCCATGATATAACGTTTCGATTTGCTACCGAGATGACATATTACTACAGAGGTCCAGGGCGAGAGAGGTAACCAGGTCACCTCTAACAGCTAAGCCGCACTATAGCGCCAACATAAAGATGACCGAGTGCCGGCCGAATTGCCCATTTGTGACGTAGTTATAGCGACGCTTATGGATCTAAACTCCCGTAAGCAGGTCAGAGTTACACTGTCAATCAACTCCTACAGCTGTCAGATCAACTTCGGCTCGGTCGTGTTCCCTCGTGCAACCTCGGGTTCAAATGGAGAATTATTCACGTACTAGCGAAGGAGTCCTGCAGTCAGCTTACCTTTCCAAGGCTGGATAAGAAATCGGGTCGATTGATTGGGTGTCGTTTCGATCAAAGTTGCCTGACGAAGATGGCGCATGCAAGTCTTCAGAGTACGCAGCAGCGTCGGATCCTTGTTAGTGCTAGGGCTAAACCGCATCCTCCCGTTCAGAGAAAGCTAGTCTTGCTAGTCTAAGTCGTGATACTACGCTGAATGCATTGCGCGATGGTTACACGATTGGTGATCAGTGGGACGACTTACAAATAGGCTATTGCGATTTGTTCAGTCGGATTCGTAGGCCGGGGACCGCAGTGAGGGGTCCCGTGGCAGGGGTTCGACGACCAGGGGGCTCCTCCAGCACCGGTATTTAAGACAGAATGGCACAGCGAACGGAATCGATATCTAATTTTCGATCGGGTTTCCTCTTCTCGTCGTCATTCGTAGCGATGGGCACTTTATTTCTTCAGCTTGGCCTCGGCGTGGCCTTGATAGCGGTGTACGTGATCAACAAATTTTTGGGTGCATCCAAAAATGCAGGCCGGCCTCCTTTGCCGCCCGGTCCCAAAGGCCTCCCGGTAGTGGGAAATGTGAACGACTTGCCGAAGCCTGGAGATTTCGAAGCTCATCACTGGATTAAGCACAAAGAAAGCTATGGTTGGTTCTCCTTTCTTGCGTTAGATCACGCCAATTAGCCATAAATCGTTGACTCAAATGCCAACGTAAGGTCCTCTCAGCTCAGTCACAGTACTGGGCCAGACCTTGATTATTATCAACGACCTGCAGCTAGCCCTCGAGCTGCTGGAGAAACGATCCATGAAGTATTCTTCAAGACCAAGACAAATCTTTGCCGGCGAAATGTGCGTTTTCAGTTCCTTTCAATGGTTTGGTTGCAGGCTGCAGCATCTGTACTTTCTTACTGTTGCTCACACAACGCACAGGATTGGCTGGGAGAATACGCTCGCAATGCAGGACCATAATGACAGATTTCGCAACTACCGCAAGAACATTGGTCGCATCATCGGCTCAAAGACGGCAGCGGCACAATACGATGCGCTCCAGGAAGCAGAAGTCGGTCATTTCTTGCTACATGTTCTTGATCATCCCGAAAAGCTCAGAGATCACATCAGACGGTAAGATTCATCTGAATAAGCCGAGAGGAAGATCAACATTGCAATAAGTTACTAACATGTCTTTGATATTTATAGGGAGGCTGGCTCGGTTATTCTTAGAGTTGCGTACGGTTATAACCCGGAACCATTCAAGGACGACTATCTCATTGATTTGGCCGGAGAAGCCATGGACCAGTTCGCCCAAGCTGCTGTTCCTGGAGCCTTCTTGGTAGACATCTTCCCTCTCTGTAAGTTCCATGAAAGCTCATTAAGATCTACATCTAATCCATAGAAGTACGTCATGTTCCAGACTGGTTCCCGGGGGCCAAATTCAAGCAAACTGCAAAGGAGTGGCATTCCACGCTGAGAGGCGTAGCAGAGAAGCCTTACGCCTTTGTCAAGCATCAAATGGCTCAAGGAAAGGATACGTCGTCTTTCGTCTCACATCTTATTGGAGACGGTGGCCTAACGCCTGAGGAGGATTTCGTCACGAAGTGGTCAGCCGCGTCCTTGTACACGGGCGGAGCCGACACGGTACGATGCATCATTTTACCTCCTCGATCAACACGAGTCCGATCGTTGTACTAACAGATATTAGACCGTCTCTTCGATTGATTGCTTCTTCCTGGCCATGACTCTCTTCCCCGGACCTCAACAAAAAGCACAGGAAGAGATTGACAGAGTCATCGGCGCAAGCCGTCTTCCCCTTGCTTCTGACCGATCGAATCTGCCCTACACAGACGCTCTTGTGAAGGAACTCCTTCGCTGGCAACCCATTGCTCCTATGGGTCTACCCCATGCAAGTTCTGATGACGATGTAGTCGAGGGATACTTCATTCCGAAGGATGCACTGCTTCTGCCGAACATTTGGTAGGTGCACCTGCATGTTATGACGTGACTTGGTGGGCGAAACTGACTTGAATGCAGGCACTTCACTCATGATCCGGAGGTGTGGGACCAACCAGATGAGTTTAGACCCGAACGCTTTCTTTCTGGCAAAGACCAGGAATCCGCACTTGATCCTCACAAAATTGTCTTCGGCTTCGGTCGGCGGATTTGCCCCGGACGCATCCTTGCTGATAATGCACTATTCATCAATGTTGCTCAATCTCTGGCGGTCTTTGACATCAGAAAACCTGTCGTTGATGGAAAGGAAGTTGATCCTACGGTCAAAATGACGCCGGGAATCGTGAGCCATCCGGAGCCCTTTGATACATCTATGAAGCCTAGGTCTGCGCATCACGAGAAGCTGATCCGTTCGCTGGAGCAAACATACCCATGGGAGGAAAGTGATGGAAAGATCTTGGAAAGCATGGAGCTTTAGCTATCTAGGAAATCCGCTCAGAATGACAGCCTTGTAACATGTTCCCACTTCTTATCTGAAGCCGTCAGCGCCTCAGCGGCTGCTGCGGCATGTTGAATCGTGTCCGGCCCCAGTAGCACACGTAACGGCGGCTGTTCAACTTCGGCAATGTGCATGATAGCCCTGGCAATGGTTGACGGTTCAGACCAGTCGTCGAAAGCTCGTTCCCTTGCTTCTTTCATGAATCCGACCGTCTTCTCATAGGCCTCGCTGATATGCCCATGGCCCATCGATGAGCCCGCCCAATCCGTCTTGATTCCACCTGGCTCGAGAACTGTGACTTTGATACCGAGTGGTGCAACCTCGTTCGATAAGACTGTCGAGAATCCTCCAACAGCCCATTTGGCGCTCTGGTAGGCACCAAGCCCAGGCGATCCAAGTCTCCCGCCTACTGAAGATACTTGAAGGATGTGACCGAAACCTTGCGTCCGTAGGAGTGGTAGCACAGCTTTGGTGACATTGACAACTCCAAAGAAGTTTGTTTCTATCTGCCCTCGGAATGATTCTAGGGTCATGTCTTCGATGGAAGCGCTATCCGCGTAACCGGCATTATTGACAACAACGTCGATTCGACCAAATTTGTCGTAAGCTTGCTGTACAACCTCGAGAGCATTTCTTGAATTTGTGACATCCAAGGCTGATAACAGAAGTCGTGATTTATCGTACGTTTCCTCGAAATGACTGAGTTGTTGCGGATCTCTTGCCGTTGCGACAACTGAGTCGCCATTTTCGAGTATGGCCTCAACAAGAGAACGGCCCAAACCGCGAGAAGCTCCAGTAACGAACCAGACCTTCATGTTGAGGACTTTCGTATAGAGAGTTTTTGTATGCAGAGAGAAGTTTAAGTGTGCTGTGGCCTTGGCATAATTCTTCTCTTGCGTTGTCAGCCTGTGACTATATATGTAGAGGAGCTATTCCCGTTAACTCCGATACAAAGTCGTTGATCTCATTCTGTTGGAGTTTTGAAAAGCCTACTAGGTTTTTTGCAAGTGTCTTGGTAATCGACGTCTCGTTAAGTCCGTCTTTGTCCGGCATGCATGGACTAAACTCAGCGACGCCAAGCAGTTCAAAATGCCACTGGTCTGTTCTCGGACTTACCACAAGCTTACGCTATGTTATCTCCTCTAGCCGCAGATGTACTGGTATCTGGCCAGGCTCAGTAGACAAAGTCAGCCATGCGAATGAATATCTGTCACTGAACTTTACGGTTCCGGCCGTAATAAATCCAGAGTGGCAAAGGCTGTAGTCGGCGCTGTCCAAGCATATCGTGCTCGAGCAAAACCACCACCAGCATGGACCTTGATGTCTTCTTCGAACAATCAAGACATGACTAAATTAAAATAAGTACGCGGTGAGAGGATTGGCGGCAATCTCAAGTGCTGCTAGCTCTTAAGCCAACCGATTCGGTTTTCTCCAGGGTGGGGAGTTACTATGTAGCTGAAAATTGGCAACCACATGCAATACGAATTATTGCAGAATTCCACGAATGTGCTGTAAGACGGAGGCAGGTCCTGCGGCATGACATGTTAAATGGCAGCGCTCTAAGCCCGTTAACTCAACAAGAATATCATTCGATACTTTTACCCATCCAAGAGACTCGATACTTATTTTTTCAAACCTGGGCATATGTTTTATACCGTGCACTTGACTTTGACCAGCTTTCCTCAATTCCTGAAATAGTGAGGCGCTCCTGACTTAACAGTCCATATCCTCGATGCACAATCGACCTCTTTTCCGACCTTCCCAATCCTTCAAGAGCCTAAAGCACCCCGCGTTCGCTACCCCTGGCACTTGCCTCACTGCAGCAGGCATGGTGACACTGCAGATCCCCCACAACCTTGCGAGTCCAGAACCACGGCACGCGGCGTCCCACTGGAAGGCCTCCAAATCATGCCACGTTCCGCTCTGGCGTGGCATTTTTCTTATTCTCGTCGGCATCCTTTTAATCTAAATTTCTTGTGGCGTATCCAGTCACAGTCATGATGGAACCCAGCATGTCTCTTTCATTGGTGGAATCCCTGCTAGACTTGTGTTTCAACGAGGGGCAATTGCCAATGAAAACCGGGATAAGCCGCCCTCGATAGTATCGCAGCCGTGGCATTCGCATTTCTGGTTCCGATGTTTCCTTTTACGCTTAAACTGTGGTTCCCGTGATGGGATACCGTGGGCGGTAAGGGAGCAACGTAGCCGTGCCAAGCAAGTAGTTTGCCATCTCGGCGTCTGGGGTTGAGGGTGTTTAGTGTGATAGTAATTGTAACAATGGATCCTCTGGAAAGAAAAGGAATATGTGTTAGTGATAAATATCATCTGGTTCTCCGAGTATGAGCAGGTTCTTTTCTCTTAACTTGCTCAGCCGCCGTTGGTACTCCAGACGCCTCCCACACAAGCCGCGATCTTCAGTGGTCTGATCAACAGTATCCTCGCAGCATTGTCGCATTTTGGGAAAGTCTCCAGGAAGATGAAGATCACTGCCTGCATTCTCGGTCTTGGTGCGGCTCTGGTGGCCGGCCACGGATACGTCGATAACGCGACCATCGGAGGAACATACTATCAGGTTTGCTTGCTCCCAACTTCATTCTCCATGACGTAGGTATACTGACAGTCACACAGTTCTATCAGGTAGACAGAACTTCTATTCAGACTTGTTGATGACGTAGCTCACACAACTCCAGCCGTACTCTGACCCTTACTACTCCACTCCTGTAAGTCTCAAACTGTGCATGCCAAAGCCGAGCGACATTAGCTGACTCAAGTTCTCAACCTATGTAGCCTCAGAGAATTTCCCGCGCGATCCCAGGCAACGGACCAGTTGAAGATGTGACTTCCATCGACATCCAATGCAACGGATACACTGCTGGCGGAGTCAGTGGCTCTAAGCCCGCGCCTCTGCACGCCACTGCCGCTGCCGGCTCATCTGTCACCCTGAAATGGACGCTGTGGCCTGACTCTCATGTCGGCCCAGTCATCACCTACATGGCACGATGCCCCGATACTGGCTGCACTAGCTGGCTCCCGGGCACTTCGTAAGAGGATCATCAGTTGCAACAAGAGACGTATTGCTAATGAGATGCCGCCAGCGCTGTGTGGTTCAAGGTCAAGGAGGGCGGCCGCGATGGAACGTCTAACACATGGGCTGACGTGAGTTGAAACTTTTCAAGAAAGAATCCAGACGATGTTTAATCACTTGGCTGATCATGATGTTACATAGACTCCTCTCATGGTCGCCAACTCCGGCTACCAATACACCATCCCGTCCTGCCTGAAGCCCGGATACTACCTCGTTCGCCACGAGATCATCGCCCTGCACGCGGCTTACTCTTACCCCGGCGCCCAGTTCTACCCGGGATGCCACCAACTGCAGGTTACTGGCTCAGGAACCAAGACTCCTACCTCGCTGGTTGCATTCCCGGGTGCATACAAGGCCACTGACCCTGGTATCACCTACGACGCCTACAAGGGTATGTCAACTAGATCCTGTCTCATGATTTTCAACCACCTAACTCCTTTGCAGCCCAGACTTACACCATTCCTGGTCCTGCTGTGTTCACTTGCTAGACAAATCGACGACCACTGATCGACGATGAAGCTGCCGTTCTGATGCTTGGGCGTGGAATTTTTACCTTCTTGTAAATAGTCAACTCAGCTTAGTATATACTCACAACAACTCGTTGGATTGATTCCGTCTTTATTGGGCTCAGTGTCTCGTGCATGTCAGAGGTCAATGTGCCAAGAGCCTTTTCTGCACCATTCACATGTGGAGAAGGCCAAATGGAATGCTAAGAAAACATGAGATGGGGTCAACCTTAAGTTCAATAGCATGATATTTCAAGAGCGACAAATTATTGCGGCAAGTCTTGTGATGGTTGTGAGTGTTCGTTACTGTGCAGCAGGCAACTTTGCGGTCTCTGATCGCTTGCGCGTTGGGCGCCCACCCTTCTTAAGACTCACCTTGGGATGGCTCTTCAACGATCACATGATCTAAATCCTCGATAGTCTAGTGGTGAGGATATCGGCTTGTCATCACACGATTCGCCGGGGACCGGGGTTCAATTCCCCGTCGAGGAGACTCTCTTTTGCTATTTCCTGCATTTTTACGGTCCTCGACAAATAACGCTTTTCCTTGATTGTGTGCCAGTTCCGCCTCGGGAAATTGTGTGCCAGGGCCCCTGTTTGAGGTCAGGGATACCGATGCAAATACCTGGTTGCCGCAGTGGAGCTTGGGCGTCGTTTATCTCTGGCACGTCTTAGCCATGTGGATGCACTGGGTCTCTTAGCGAAACAAGTCACTAATGAATCAAGCAGGAGAACGACCGAGATTGCATCCAAAGGGAAATTTGGATTGACTATGTACTGCCCCGAGGACATCTCAATGGGCAGAAGAAAGAAGAATTATGTACACGAACAATTTGCGCAGCTTGACCGAACCCAGATGCTCGGAACCAAAGCCCCAAATAATTACAAGAAAAGTTCCGGCTGAATACCGCAGCGACTGCCGGAGGCTAGCCCCGAAAGTCGCCGACCCATCCCGCAGCCAGAGCATCCCGCATCAACGAGATCCGACTCTTGTGTGGCGGAGGAGGAGGCATTTAGCAAGCAGCGCCGCTGCCGCTGGGGATGCCCTTGCACTTGGTGGAGGACTTGCCGCCGGTGACAGAGATGCCAGACCACTTCCAGCTGCTGCAAGAAGCGCAGAGGATGTAGACGTCAGTGCCGGAAGAGGCGACGGAGCCCTTGATGTTGCTGAGGGTAAGGCCAGTGATGGGGACGCCGGAGGTGGGGGTGCCGGTGGGGGAGCCGTTCTCGTAGTCCTGCTCAATGACGATACCGTACTTGGCGATGTTAGAGAGGGTAATGCCGGAGTAAGTGACGCCAGAGACGGAGCCGGTGGCGCCGGAGACCGTCTTAATACGGACACCGTTGTCGGAGTTGA